CCTCCCTTTTCAAATCTCTTTTTATTGAGTCTATACAGGTTCCGTATTCCGTACCTCTGCGCCTCTGTAGTAATTTTTTTTTTATTATTATTGTGTATAAATGCTATAGTGGCTATAGTTTTTTTTAAAATCTAAATTAGTAAAATAAAAAAATAATAAGGAATAGTGCATTAATGATTATTGTGAAATTTATCTAACTGGCAGGGTTTTTGACCTGCCACGACATAGTAATTCATCTGAAAATTATCATGCAACTCCGCGTCTTTTTACTAGTGCCATAATTGAAAAGTGAGACGTTACTCGGATATTTCCATACCAGAGACTTTAGTTAGCTCACCCCCAACAGTTCCATCTTCAACTTTGTATTCTGCAATTCGAGTAACATTGCTGATTTTTAGCTCCTAATGACTCTGCTTTGATCCTTTGCAGGCGGCTAATGAATTGGATTCTTTAAAGTCATATATCAGGAACCGGTGGGGCAGCATTATTGAGGTCATTTTTTTGGTCACATTAGACTTTTTTATAAGAATTTAATCCGTGATTAAGAGTTTATAAATATAACATCAGGGCTTGCTTTTTGCAAAATGATTGATGACATCTTTAAAATTTTTATAAATTTATATCAGTTTGTAACTTGGGATACATGTAAATTTTCATAATGTAGTTAATAAATAAAAAATAAAGTATTTAAACAAATTATAAATAATACAATCAAATTTTATTACTCATGCTTGAAACAATGAATTATTTATCAAAACTTAAGCTACGTGTGGTATAAATTTAATGGGTTGTTATTATGTACAATTTGCATAATTAACAAAATCACGCATTCCGATTCGTTTGTTTAATATTAAGCATTGTATTTATTATAAATCCTCGGTTTAAACTGCAATTAAATTGAGGTTTGAGCCATCAGTTTATTATTAACATAGTAAACTGCCAGTCAACTAGTCAAATTAGCAGTTTATGAACCGAACCAGTCGGAGTGGCCTGTCAATATGTAGAAATGTTTTTACTAAACAAAAAACAAAAATGATATTTTTAATGCGATTTTTCATATTATAATATTTTTTTATGATTATTTTTTTTTAGCAAAGCTTGAATTCTATCTCCTCTACACATATCGAATAAACCTCTATCAAAGTTTGGCATGAGATTATATCATAACCCAAGTCAATTTCGATTTTTTAATATTAAAAAGTTGTAGATTAAGATTTTCGGAGGAATCGACACTGAATTTTTATTATTGTCATCGTTGTTGTTGCTACTATTGATCCGAAATTCTCTTGTTCGTTAAGCTCTTTCATTTAATACTATTTTTATGTCTGTAAACAAAATTGGTTTTATATAAATTTAATCTACATAGTAATAGTTTCGGGCCATCCAATGCTACGTTTGTAAGTGAAGATATGGTAGCATAAAGTGGTTGCAGATATTGTGATAATGGCTGTAGTAGTTGTTTTGCATTTGTTGCGATAAGATTAATCACCATCGTCGTATCATTGCCCTATAAAAAATCATACAGATTTCCATATGTTAAATACGAGATTTAGAAGTTTTTCCTTTTTTAAATTTAACATGGATTGCCGAATACTAATACTAAAACATATGGAATAAGTGTGGAATGTTGTTGCTATTATTGTTAATAAAAATTCCTGGATCTTGTTTGCAAATGTTGGTATTGAAACTTTTCCAAAAAAAAAAAATTTAGAAAGAAAACTTACAAGTATATTAAAATATTTAATATATTATAAAAACGAAAAGTTGGCGTGTAACTTTTACTTATAATTTTTCCTATTTAAATTCTTGTCCATCTGAAGAATCATTACCTCGTAACTCCAAGAATAGAATGATCTGTATTTGTTTGTTTATATAATAATAAATAATTTTGTAATGGTGGCACTAAAGTTAGATATAGGAAAAGGTGATTTATATCTCATTTAAAAAAATTCTAAACATAAACAAGCATCGGGAATTATTTAAAGATGGAAGAAATTAAACTGTTAAACAAATTAAAATTATTAATTGGATCAATTTATCCAAGATATGGTTTATTATGCAAAACAATTTTTTTTAATGATTATGGATCAATTAGGATATATAATATTTTAAATGAATTGCTTGGAACATTAAAATTGATAGAAAATTGTACTAATTGTAAGCAAGAAATGATAAAAGATAATAATTATCTTATGGATTATCTGAATAAATCAATTGATGCATTAAATGAACTTTCAAATAGATTAAAAGAAAATGAGGAAGAAGAAAGTAAAAAATTAATTGGAAAATCATATCACAATTTAATTTACACAGTGTTAGTAAATGCATATTTAGAACAGAATAATTTAGATATGGCATTCAATTTGTTAGATCAAATGAAGAGTGGCGTGGCTGAGTTTAAGATTGGAACACTAGAATCAATTATCACTACAGCTGCTGAAAATAGCAACGAGGAATTTGTTGAAAAGATTTTTAGTTACTTGAAAAGTTTGGGTGTTATAATTGACAAGAGCATTTATTATATTCTATTGAATAGGCTGGCAAAATCGCCATGGCCAAGATATAAATTAGAATATTATATACGTGAAATGGAAGAGAATGAAGTACCCGTAATAAGAGCTGTATTTTTTAATATAATTAGCGGATGTTGTGATGTGAAAAATATCAACGAGGCAGAATATTGGTATAATAAAATGATAAATGTATATCAATTAATACCAAATCCAAAAATTTTAACAACATTGATGTATACCTTCATAGATAATAGAGATTTATACAATGGTATAAACTACTTTAAGGAATATTTTAGGTGGAAAGCTCAACTTCTTGAATATGAAGTTATGAATTTGTTGGATTTATGTGAGAGATTAGGTGCTCGGAAAGCTTTAAATTATATAATAAATCTGCTAGGTGAAAATGGGTATCAGGAATATGTACATAAATATGAGATTAGAAGACAATTGATTGACAATAAAATGGAAACAATCAATTGGTTAAATAGACATGTATCATCAGCATCAAATAGAAATTTAAAATTATTTATTAACAAAGAGAAGTATGCTGTAAAAAAAAATATTATTTATAAGAAATTAGATCATAATGCTGCTATTAGAATAAAAAATTGGAAACCTTATAGTGAAAATAATAAACAATAATTTGGATACAATTTCTTTCGTTACTTATTTTTACTTCCCTTCCTTCTTTCCCACAAAGAAACACATGACAATATTATTTTTGATGAATAAATTATTTGGTCTCAACCAAACTTTTCCCCAAGTAAATCACATCACAATAAATCATCGTCATATTAATGATTAAATAAATAATTATTACTGTTACTACTATAATTATTAACTAAATAATCTTTTTATATTATTAATATTACTTGTGTGATTTTTTAACATGCTTTTCTTTTTTGCTATCACAATAACATTAGTCCGCTTTACAACCCAATCCTTCGCCCACCATATCTGCTTTCCGGTGTCAATGAGCTAATAATGGTATTAATATAAAAGGTAAAAAATTATAATTAATATAATTAATCAATACGATAAATCAATTACTCAACTATTTAGATGAAAGGCAACAAACAATTCATAAACTAGAGGTGCTCCTCAATCTCGGGTCGGCATTTTACTCCTGTCCTTCTACAACCTGTTACTCTTCCTTGGTAATACGATCACGTGACTGGTGGTGATTTTAGAAAGAGTGCTTTTAATCATGAATGATTGTAATAACGAATCGTTGTTTAGAGATACAAAATCATAATAGGAGTAAGGAAAATACTAAATAATCGTCAAACTCCAAAAGAAAAATATTAAAGAATTTCTTCATTATTGCAATTTCTGCAACTTCTACAAACAAAAGGAGTTGCCAAAAGATCCTCTCCACTGGTGGTGACAACGTTGAAAAAATATAATAAATAACCACGATCATTATGTAATTAAATATTTATTCAGTTAAACGGTAAACAAAAAAAAAAATACATAAATTATAAAAATTTTTCTTTTATCATCACCACTAACATCAACATCACTAATATCAACATTATCACTACTAATAACATTTGCTACCATTATAATACCTGATATCATCTCCATTACAATCCCTGATATTATCATCACTACCTTCATTTCTCATTTCATATGCATTGGCATAAATACTGAAGCATTAGTGTCAAAATTGTATTTAATTAAACTATTTGGTTGAATTTTTTTATCGGATGAATCATCATCATCATCATCATCCGTTGATATAGTAGCCAATTTATTAAGTGGGCGACTTGTATAGAATGCATTTAAATGGTGTTTATTGCTTTTTGCTTCTGAAAGATATTTTTCTGATTTAATGATCTCTTGACGTTTTGATTCAGCTGATTCAATGACTTTTTCTTTTTCTTCAGAAAGCTTAATAGAATAGAAACAAAAAAGGATTTCCCAGGCAGTTGGTCTATTTTTTGGATTTGAATCCCAACATTTTTTCATCAATTCAGCATAGAATTCAGGAGTGTCTTTGGTGACTTTAGGTCTCATTCCTCCCAGAATATCCATTATTAGATGATGATCATGTGGCACATTATGAAAAGGTTTTTTACCTGTGGTGAATTCCCACATAATCATTCCAAAACTATAAACGTCTGATTCTTTTGTATATTGTTTACCTGATAATACTTCAGGTGCCAGGTATGGAATAACTCCAAAAATCTCATTTGGATT